CACATACATCCTAGCTACCCTCTTCCATCCCATCCCGATCCTGCACTCTTCCATATCCACCTATCCACCTATCCATCCATTTATCAGACATACATCACGTCACCTCACATCACATCTCGATCCTGCATCTTCTCGATTACGCATGCAAAATGTACAATGCACAATGTACGTCCCTTTTCCTTTCTCTCCATCTATCCACCATCTTCGCTTCCATTCCTTTCATTTTCTTTCCTGCTGTGCTCTATTGTAAGTAGTATTAAATCTCAAGTATCAAATCTCAAATCTCGCCTGTCGATAATAGGATACTCCTAGGACGAATTCTAATTCTAATTACAGATATACTATATGTGTATATATAAATATATATACAATTTCAAGAGCATATTATCTACAGTTATATAATCTTAATCTCAATATCTATGGCTTATAGTATAGTAAATATAATATCTTTATTCATTCCATCTGCCTCATTCCATACTAATCTATTCTATCCTATCCTATCCTATCCTATCCCATACTATCTCCTTCCCATCCCTTCTCTTCTTTTTCATATAATCAAACCTCACTCCTCTTCTTTTCCCCCTCCTCAACCTTTTTTTCAATCCCTCTTCTTTTCACATCAAAATAAATCCACCCACACACAACACCCACCCAGCCACCCAATCCATCCAATCCAACCCACCATTTCATCCTCACAGTCTCGTAGTTTCGTAAATGTAAAATACCTCCCTAGTATCTAGTATATAATCCCATGACTACTATGAATCTATAATCACCATAATCCATAATCACCATAATCCATAATCACCATACTAAAAATAAAAATAAAAATAAAATGACATAAACCACCCCAGACCTAGGTAGAGAATGAGATACGGATATGGATATGGATGTGTATTCGGATCCGAAGGGTCTCTCTCGGATTTATATCCATTCAATTATTCTTACGGTTTAGTTTGGTTTGGTTTGGTCTGGTTTGCCTCCGGACTGTAGCTATAATTGATATTTGTAAGTGAGTCAGTCTTACCTGTACTTGTACTCGTGATGTTGATGTTGATGTTGATGATGGAGATAAGCATGAGAATCATGATGAGGATGAGGATGAGCATGTATATGAAAAATGATTTTCAAAATTTTAATCAGCTACCTAATCAAAGATTCCATGTATGCCTGTCCTTGTCTGCGCCTCTTCATCACGCAGGTGAGAAGAATCAGAAAACGTAGTCGGAATCCGCTGATTCTATTCGACCTCTTCCTTTTCCTTCTCTTTGATTCCTTCTCCCCTTTTTTTGATTCTTTTTCTACAGCATACATGGCGAAATACATGCATACATACATGCCTTTCAACCACAACAAACGAATTGCATAGAAGATAAATACCATGTTAAATCCCCATAACAATCCCAACACCAACTTCCAACGACCCAATCCCACAATCGATATAAAATAAATCTTTCCTACTGTACATCCTGTGCCCCAATAAACATGAACTTTGTATGCTCCCCTTTCTTTTGCTATTCCCTACTGCTTAGTCCTCCTGCACCAAATGTGTATACATTTACGTGACCATATAATACAATGCCCCGTCCACATGTGGTGCAGTCCATTCCTCAAAATGTCACAATTCCCCGAGCAACTCCAATAACAACCCATGATAGCTAGGTATTGATAAATCCCAATAACCAAACCGAATCCTCAACAGAAAAGATGTATACCTAACAAAAGAAACCTCAAATGATCATAGATGTCTCCACCCACTCTGATACAACACCTGCATCTCATTAATCAAACATTCCAATCCCAATTCTTCCCTCAATTCCTTTCCTTCCCCCTCCTTCGTCCACTTTTGCACTCTCCTCCCCACCCGTCCTCTCTCCACCCATCCACTCCCCCATTCCCTCACCCACCCCATCCTAACCCCCCAAACTCCCCTCACAGCCTCCCATCTCCCAGGCCATCCCCCCTTCCCATTAACCATTTCATAAACCTCCCTCTTATACCCCACCCTCACATTCGGATTCACATAAATTCCCTTCTTTTCCCTCGACGGATTATCCGCATGAATAAGACAACATTCACTACCCTCTACATGTTTTTCCGCAAGAGAATCAGGGACGCCTCTGAATCTAAGACCCTTGAATTCTTTCTTTGAATTTAAGGAAATGGAAGAGGAAGGGTACCAAGGTTCCCCATCGAAAACAACCATTCCGTTCCAACAACTTTTAACAGGTACGGGGTCGTTTCTTTTTAACGCATTTAAGGATTGTGGGGCGTAGAAGTAGGGCCAGGAAAGTGATGAAGTTTTTCGGCCAGATGAGTCCCGGAGAGCAAAGGTATCATAGTATTGGGAAGGGAGGGAGAAATCTAGAGAGCAGGCTGCTGCATAGAAGTTGTTGTTGGTAGCGAGGAGGGTAGTTACATCGGTTGTCTGTTTGGGGGTTAGCTAGGCCTTTGGATCTAGGGATAGAAACATTGAATCGATGAATAGAGCAAGAATAGACATAGAGACATGAGAAGGCTGCGACAATGCATATGGATCACAAACGAAGAGAAAAAAGGAGAAGAAACACGTGACAACATACCGTAAAAACCACATCATTAATCCACAAAATCTTATCAAACTTCCTGCCCCTCCCCTCATCCCATACTCTCAAGAGAGGCTCCATAGCTCTATTCCTCAATCTCGCCAAATAAGGAATTCGTCTCATTTCCCAACCACTTTCACTTTCCTTCCTCCCTGTATGCAACCACCCAGTTCTATCCTGCCCCTCCTCTGGCACATGTTTTAATTCTTCAAGCTGAGCCAGACGATCCATACCCAACTCAATCGTCCTTTCCACCCCCGCTTCCCCTAACATACCATCCAAATCCACCAGGGCCGCTTTCGTTCCATCCCACGAACCCGATTCAATAATCGAGACATACACATTCTGGGGACCCAGATGGTGAGCCAGGGATACAAGAGCCGGAGACCAATTTTGCCTAAGCATTATTTCAGATTTACGAAATATGGCTGCTATGAAAATTGTTTCATTATTGGGATTTCCCATTGGTGGTTTAGATCCCTGAGAGGCCTGTCTACTTTCAACATCACCAAATAATAATGATTCTTGATCCCCCTCCCCTCCAACCCTTTTCACCGATAAAGAATCCTGGCCTTGCAATGACGGAGGTGCATGTTGATTTGACGTCAAATCCGATGGATGAATCGCCGAAAATGGAGGCGTGATAGTATGTATTGGATTTGGAAGTTGAATGATGATCCAATAAGCATCGAAAAGGAAAAACACCAAAAGAGCGAGAACTAGATTCGGAAGACGTGAGTGGGGATGAAGAGGGGATCGTGGGGCACGAAGGTAACGTTTAGGAAGGAATGTCATGGTTTAGTTTTGAATATTGATGCCGGTCTGGTCCTGCCAGGAAGGATGTGTATGGTCCAGATGGGGTTGTCTTGCGACCGTAATGAGGGATTATGAACGGGCCGAAATAGCTAGGTATGGTACACCTAGCTCCGAGCTACCTAGCAGCAATGCAACATAGAACGTGCTCGGGGAACAGTCAAGCTTATAATAAGAGGAGTAAATATTGATCCTGGCATATAGGTAGTATCGGGTGTCCTTTTCGGAGATATGATACAGAGAAGAAGGTGGTGGCTAGGCGTTTGAATCCGGGGTTCAGATCCGAGCCCGTCTCGACAATTCTATCCTATGGAAAATATGTGGAGGTGCGGAGCTTATGAACTCATGAGCTTGCAAATCTGTACTTCGTGAAGAAAGTCAAACCATTTATCCATCTGAAGCTCTGGAGAAGTGAAGGAAAGTTAATGCATGATTTTATGGCTTTTATTCTGTGAATAACAATTGGTTGGTTCTAGTGTCCGTTTTCAGCAGAACTTCGTGATGGGACGATGACTAGGTATGTAACCTACCAGTACCAAGAGATCTTGTTTGGCGCGTAGAATTGTTAATTATCTAATGCACGAGCTTAAGCATCCGTATGTCAAAGGATCCAACTATGTTTCCATAAGTAGCATCCTGGATATACATCTCCAACTGAACTCGTACAGTAACAAAGAAAAAAAGCGAAAAGAGGAAGCGTACAAAATGGCGCAGCGCCGTTGGAAGACGCAATTGGCAAGTTAAGGGATCGGAATATTACATCGATAGGAGTAAGAACCCTACGCATGTAAGCTCGTTAGTGTTCGGCCCGGCCGAGCTTACTTTATTCAGCGATTGATCTGAGACATGGTATCAGCACTCCTTCTGCTTACTCCGTACTTAACTAGGTAGCTAGCGATTCAACGACCTGGGGATCCCCAGATTTTGAACTTTCTATATCTTCGGTCTTAGGACATATAAAGTATGTCGACTGAATGTCTAAGTGATCAATCAGTTTGTTGAAGTTCAAGGCAATAAGACAAAAAGGGAACTTTCATTTGTTGAACGTACAGATAACCCGTGGTTTGAATGCCTAGGTAAATTTCTCTCGTTTCTTCTAGTGTCAACGAGTTGTTGGTCATTACTTTTCTCATATATAATATGAATTGGGATGCTGATATCGATTGGGACGGCGGTCATGTTAACTGGGACGATCATATAAATTGGAATAATGATACCAACTGGAAATCCCATATCAATTAGGACAACTGTATCAATTGGAAGAAAGCGAAAGGTCATCAGAAATTCCCCCTTATATCTGCAATCCCATTCCACTCTCAATTCTTCTTACAGTACATCAGACTACTGAATCTTCAAGTTTTCAACAAGTTTTGATGAATCCAAAGCTGCCTAGTGGTAAGCAGGCTATCTTATTCACAGTCGTAATAATGAATGCTCTTATTTGGACTTATCATCGAATTATCTTATATCACAATGCAATGAAGCTAGTATTGTGTTAAAAAAAAGTACATCATAACATTTATACACTCTATCTATCTACTGGGTATTTATCTATCTATCCATCCATCCATGCGTCTATAAAAACATGTCTATATATATAAATTATGCTGAAGATTCAGTGGCCTTTTGTTGCGCTTCAAACTCCTTGCTGAAAGGATAAGAGGTATATCCCTCAGCCTCCTTCTTGTTATAAAAGAAATCTCTATCATATGGAGTGAACTCAATTCCCTCCTTGACTCTGAATGGAAGATCTGGGTTGGTGATGAAGTATCTTCCGAATACAATCACGATATCCTTTCCTTTGTATTCTTCATCAACAGCCTTCTTTGCAGATTCGGCTTTGAAACCTCCAGCGAGGAGAATTGGGCTGGTACCATTCCAGATATCGATCAGGAAGTCAACCTTCTCGGTTGCTTCGACATCTGCATTTCCGGTAATTCTTGATTCGACAACGTGTAGGTATGCAAGGCTCAATTTCTTGAGCTCTTGGGCGATGTAAGTAAATTGTGGAATAGGATCTGCCATCTTCATTCCTTGGAAAGGAGAAAATGGACTCAATCTGATACCAGTCTTCTCAGCACCAACAGCTGCAACGACAGCCTTGGTGACCTCAAGGCCAAAACGTGCGCGGTTCTCAACACTTCCTCCCCAGGAGTCAGTACGTTTGTTTGCTGTATCTTGGAAAAATTGATCGATCAAATAACCATTTGCTCCGTGGATCTCAACACCGTCAAATCCAGCTTCAATTGCGTTCTTGGCAGCTTGTGCGTATAATCCAATATATTCCTTGATCTCGGCCTCAGTCAAAGGTTCTGGCTTGCCACCTCCCTCAAAGGCAATATCGCTCGAAGACTTAAGTTTGTAACCACCTTCTTCTTGTAAGTTTGATGGGTCTGCCGCTCTTCCTAATGCCCACAATTGCATCCAGATGTATGATTTCTTTGCGTGAACGGCGTCGGTAACCTTTTTCCATCCGGCAATTTGCTCCTTACTCCAGATACCAGGGGGTTGGCATAACCGGCGGCTTGGGGGGCAATGAAGGTAGCTTCGGAGACGAGAAGTGTGCCGGGAACAGAAGCACGTTGAGCGTAGTATTCGGCAACTATTGGAAGGGGTACGTGGTTATCGTCGGCACGGAATCGAGTGAGAGGTGCCATGGCAATTCGATGTTGGAGCTCGGAAGTTCCGACTTTGAGAGGGGTGAAAAGGGTTGATGAAGACATGTTTGTGTCGTATTGTTGAGTAATTGGTGTATGTATGAATGTGTAATTGCAGGTTCAATTGCTTGTTCGTGTATATACTTGTCTGAATCAAAATGGAATGGAATGAAAAGAAAGCAAGAAGAGACCGCCCACCTTTATACCTTCGATTGATATGTGGGAATATCGCGCAGTTGCGCATGAATAGGAAAAAAAACCAAGCAAATTGATTGTTCAGCAAGATGGTCCTAGCAATCATGTCATTCCATTATTGATGCTTACTCTACCAGATAACCCGTAGCAATTGCATCGAACATCTTGATTTGGCGTATCGTGTATCCAAGATATCTCCGAGGGTAGTGGGGGTTGTTCGGGGAAATGATATTATGATAGTCGCTAGTTCTCTGATCTTGTGAAAAGAGATAGTTTCTGCAGAGATCTGAAGCTTTCCGTACAGATGGATAAGACCATTTGCCCATGTTGCGGTAGCGAAGATCCATAAAAGCTTATAAATCAAAAAATATCCATGACGTTTTGTGAAGGCAATTGATTCTCAACTGCCGACATCTGACTGGGGACCTGAATTATGTAAGCCATGGAAAGATGATGATCAGTTGTGAAAGAGAGGAAGATCATTAAAAAGGTACAGTGTATCTATTTACCTGTCCATCTAAACACCACCTAATAATAAGTTACGTACGATGGATGAATGAATGATAACGTATATCAAAGGAACAATATCACACAATTTCCTGTGTTGTAAAAGTGTCTAGGGGTTCTTGAAAGAACAGCGGATATTCGATCTTCCCCGAAAACCTTATAATGCCTACTTTTATATCGTATACATTTGGAAAATTCGAAGACGCTAGTAAGGTCTAATGATTTTAGCTCAATGCGGGCTGAGATAATTTGTTATTATTATTTATCAAATACTTTGATTTTCGAGATGCTTGATTTTATTTACTGCTGTTTTTCGAATTTTCCAAGTAAATAAGTAAAGTATTTTGAAAGAGGGGCTATTAAAAAGAAAAAGTAATAAACAACGCCCCCATCCATCCATCTCATTCGTAAAAGCAGCGACCCCTTTCCGCCCCCCGCTACATGAGCCTTCAAAAAAAACTTGCTCACGAAAACGGAAATCATCAACTTCTTCAATTCTTCAACTTTTGGGGATAAAGGCGCAAAAATATGCAAAATGATATTGGAGCGGCAGGGAGTCGAACCCTGGACTTCATCGATACTAGTCACATATCTCTGATGAGATGTATGACAATGCAAACGAGGCACTCTACCACTGAGTTACAGCCCCTGGTATTTGTTATGATATCCAACTGTTATCTAAATATATATTACCAAGATCATTAAAAGGAGATATTGTGGTGGGGAAATGGTAGGAATAAACGCTACTACCAATGGTGGTTGACTCTTCAAGCGGGGGACTACAGTCGTCAGCTCTGAAAAATGATAAACAAAGTATTTTCAGTCAATTGCGCTTATGTCCTATACTGCTCGATGGCTTTGACTGAGGGAAACTCATCAATGTAGTAAAAGGTATAAACAATTGAATAGTCGATTGATAATTCAAAGAAAACAAAGTATACAGTGCCGAAGATATCTCAAACTTACCATAATGAATATGAAATCAACAAACAATAATTTCTAAAATATTCAAACATCTTTAGGCTCCTTCAAATCAGATCTATCGATTGATATAAAAAGAAGTATAACTGTATAAAGATGTTACAACTAATCATTTATAGAATCAACGCATCGGTATTGCTTCGGCAACATTTCCAGACAGGAGGAGAGAGAGAGGCAAAAGCAAAAGCTACTCACATCAAGAAGAGTTACAATACATTGACAGTTCAATAATGTTGAGCGTCTACTTGACCATTCTTACAAATCAAATCTGTGTTCTTCATACCAAAAACCATATTCTTATGCTTACATCCATATTTGCATCTGCTATTAATACACTACCTCCCCATCTTATTCCTCCAAATACATCGGCCACGATCATATTGATAATCAGAGTTACCAGAATCATGATATCTCATTCGCATATATTCTTAGAGTATATCGAAAACGGAGTTGTGTGTCTCCTGAAGAAAATCGGGTTTGTAGGTAGTAGCGGATTCTCTATGGTTTTTAAAGAGAGGAGAGAAAAGCATTTTCGAGTGATTTGACAATTCAAATTCCTTGGAGAGTTTTTTTGGTTGGTTCCTGCGTTCATCCCCCCCCGGCTTGATGGGAATTGATTCAATGTCACTTTTTGGCTCATCGTAGTGATGTACATTGAATATTTGAAATGGACTGGATTTTCTAAGGTGGATGGAATTCATCGAATAATTCACAAATACTTCAAGTGAGTTCGAAATTCGAAGAAAGAAGTTTCATCCAGGGAGCCACAATATATTCTCCCACAAAGATTTTTATCCAACAATAACATCAATTAACCTCCTTCCCCCTTCCCCAGAGAAATTCACCTCTCTCATTTCCCTCTACCCAACCCTCTCATCTTCCATCCACACCGACCATTTTCCCACAGGCCCATCATCTCTCCACATCGCTTTAAAAACCATAAGTTCCGGTCTCAATCTATTACCCACTTTATGGCACGCCAATCCCACCATCATCGCCGCAAAACTTCCTTTATAAAATGTCTTCTGATTTTCTTCTCTAGCTCCCAACTGCGTCGTCAGAACACTCAAGTTGAGGTCCCGATGTTCCATTTCCCCATCTAGCCAGTCTTCTAGCACGTGGGGATCAATGTCGTCTATTAAAAGAGCTAGGAGGATGTTCGCTTCTTTTTATCGCTCGCTTATTTCCTCCCATACTCTCTCTGTCTTTTGTTCCAGATCAGGAAATTTACGGTAGGTTTTGTATACATCTGATTCTGGATATTCGTCCTTTGATTCTGGAAAGCTCCCTTTAAGCTCAATTAATGAATTTTTGATCTTCCTATTGCAAATCAAAATGCTAGGATCGGGTCCCACACTCCTACAAAGCATACCACATGCGAGGAAAAGCGGTGCCGCATCAACCGTCACCTTTCCCATTTCAATCGTCGGGAACGTAGCTTGAAACTAACTAGGATACGTTCCAAATTCCCTCGGGATTCTCTTCCATAATCCCAAATGTTTCCCCACGAGTATCGAAGCATCATGCCCAATCATCGGATCGGATAAACAGCTACAGGACATGAACAACTTGGTTTCCAGCACTCTCCAGATACCGCATCAAGTCTCGCTCTCTCGCGCAGCAAATGACTTCGAGTAAATCTAATAGAGCTCGATCCCCATATCCAAACTCGTATCAGACTAGTATCCTCACTCTTCTTAACACGCACCGCTGCGCACTGTGCCAATGTCAACTTTGGTCACATATTTCCATACCCTCGGGTACAAATGACACTTTTTGTCATCATGTATTCTCGTTCTTTGAATGTACGAACTAGCTCTGAAGATTCTTAATGAAAGTGTATCTTGAACTATGCTTTGTGGATATCTAATTTATGCTAAACATGTATACTTCAAGCACCACCATACTAGAACAAATTCCTCTAAACACCATAATTTCCATCTGAACTCCCAAAACCAGAATATTGCCTTGATTCAAAACTTTGTCAAGCCTTGTTACCACCTCCACTATCCCTGATTCTGAAAGACATTACCTCCCTTAATCCATTCCTCACTAATAACCAACGCATCGACCATCCCCCTCTTCAACCTCATAACCTTCGCATCTCTCTCCTTAATCTGCTGTTGCAAACTGAGATATTTTGCCTTCCAACTCTCTTCATTGTCATCTATTCCTCTCCCCATATTTCCTATTCCTTCCCTCATTCCCATCTCCAGAACGTTCTCCACAACTGTAGCTCTTATCGTAAAATCCCCTTCAAGGCTGCCAAATCTCATCTTCCAATGACATTCATAATCTGTTCTTGGTGGTGGACCGGGGAATTCAAGTCTTGTGACGCGGAGACGTGTCATGAGAGGACCGCCCGCTAGTGCTGAAAGATTAATAAGAAAAGCTTCAGTGCTGCTGGATTCGGCTTGGAGATTTCGGATGACTTGTTTGCAGATTTTAGATGCTTCGTCTATAGAGCATTGTTGGATTGAATTTCCGGCTACGTCGTACCATTCGGCGGCAAGAATTTCTCCAATGAAGTGAGATTCTAAAGCATCGATGTTGGTACGGTCAAAGTCTTCATTTTGTCGAAATGCTATACTGACAAAGTGTTCGAAACTGGGGTCTTGAGGTCCATTGGCAGGATTGTTGAAATACTCCATGAATGACGTTTGTTGAGATTGTTCAATTAAATCATTTTGCATGTTCGTATCAGTCTCACCGTTTAGGAGTACAACGGGTGGTGGCGGTGTTGCCAATCGAACATTTCCACCTTTTCTTTGTGGGACTTGTAATGAAAGTCGATTTGGCCGAGAATTTTGAGCTTGTGGAATGGCTGTAGGTGGATTGGCTCTTACGCCAGCAGGAAAGAAATGGGAAATTTCGGAATCTGCCACTGTAGGAGTAGCGGTTGGTGTGCCTCTTATTGAACCAGGATTGGCAGGAAAGGTCGAAAAAGGACCGTCTGTAACAGAACGGTTGTTAGGTGGTCTACCTCGTAATTTTCCAGTGGAGGCACTACCGTTACTTGGCCATGCTGATGATACCGCAGGTCCATGACGACGCCTTGACCGGGACTTGTTTGGCGTTGTGGCTGATTGAGGTTCATTGCTATCCGGCCATAGATGTGTTCTGTTTGATGGAGTGAGAGCTGACTGTGGATAAGCTGATAGCGGAGTTGCACTTTCTGGTGGAGCACCCCATCTGAAGTTGTCCACCAGAGGACCTCGAACTTCTGTTGCAGACCATGGACTTAAACGAGTATCGAAGCCTTGTTGAAAGGAAGAATTTGCGGTCGCTGGTGTAGCACTATCCGGATGTAAGGACGTCCTTGCAATCATAAAATCTTCGGATAGTGTAGGCGAGTGTAACCGAGGACGTTGAGAAGGTGATCTCCCTATTTCATCATCCTCCCTATCCTCAGCCTTCTTTCGTCCACGCTTAGGTCTTGTTTCCGGAAGCAAAGCGCGGAGAGCCAAATCTTCATCGGCGGTCACCCCATCTCGGCCAAGCTCTGATGGTGGTTCACCAGGAGATGGTACTTGTGTCCAATAAACATGAGGTTTGCTCAATAAATATTCAAAAAATGCATCAACATGCATTGCGTGCAGCCACCGCTAAATTTTGTTAGCGTTACATTGACGAGTTTCTGAGATCCACTTGCATACCTTGAGCCTAACAGCATATTGTTGTACCTTCTGAGCACTTTGACCTTTCTCCAAAGAAGGAGGTTCAACTCCCAAATCTATCGCCAATTGTGCCCACGTTTTGATCTCCTTGTTCTCTAATTTACAAATCAATTCGAATAATACAAAAGTGCTGAAACTTTTGTTATCACTTTTTGGAGGCGCGCGAAATATTCGCTTCAATTCAGCAGTATCTGTATCTGATGCCACGGCAGGATTGCAGTACATGATGAAGCCTACGTAGGCATCGTCAAAGTTCTCGTCTGTAACTTCTCTCGAAGGTAGACTTCGAGAATTTTGGTGACTTGGAGATGAATTTCCCAGCGGCGAAGGTTGTCCCGGACGCTCAGGCATCACTCTATCCTGAACATTTGCACATGACGCTTGATTATGGGCTTGAATATATTGTTCGCCTCCTTGAGGTGCAATCGTGGCATATTTACTATGCTTTGTAGCTTCAGGGGTCATTGCAGGGACATGAAGGACTGGGAGCATTCTCCCACTTTTGAATTATCAAATGACCTAGATTAAATTTTTGATACAAGTAATGAAAAGTGGTTTTTAGGAAAATGTATGAGAAACTTTGACTATAATATGATGACTTGATAGATATAATGAAATTTACTTCTAATGTTTGAAATATACACCCCAAAAGAAAAGAGCTGTTAATGAAAGACACGTTTCCCGTTTCTCCCTAACTATAATGATACCGGTACTCCAATTGACAGCTGGAAAGGGAGACAAATGATTTAACGACAGAAACAAACGACGTTGGGTATATGTGCTATATGACTAGTGACAGAGGTTTAGATATATTCTCGCGATAAATTGAACAAAAAGGGGGTATATATTTAGCGTTGACAAGAATGATGAATAATTGATGATAATTACTTTGAACCAAATAATTGTTAATGAGGAGAAATAAATTGATGTTAAGTCTGAAATGAAATTTAATCTGATTGAGCTTTGCTTTTCCAGGCCGAATGATTACTAATCACATATAAGAATAGATCATCGGCACGTGAATGCGAGAATGCCACGTGAATGCTACCTAAGCACGTGTTAGTCCAAATTAAATTGGGGTGGGGAATCTCCGGGACAATGCAAGGGGGGGCTCCGCATTGCCTCGGTAAGTCGGAAATGGGCCTTTGATATGTAAGTTGACAATGCACATCTGATGCAGACAGAGGACGAAACTACCTAGGTATCGAGAATAATAATAATTCATCTTTCTTCTTTCTTCATTCTTCACGTCTTTTATATCGTAGTTCAATCTTGAATTCTCCATAATAAACTCACACTACTTGTTTCCAATATCAGAACGTCATCAACATCACATATACCTGTACAAAACAATCATGGCAGCTCAACAATCAGATAATGTTGCTCATGCTCTTTCCGGTGCTGGTGGGGGCATCCTTTCCATGGCTCTTACGTATTAGACCCCTATCCTTCTCCGCATTCCAAAGGTTAACAAAATGAAGCTATCCTCTTATTACGCTTTCCACGCGCGCACAAGTCGAATCAAAACGCGCTGATTCAGGATTTCTTGATGCTGTAAAGCATATCATGGAGCGTGAAGGTATTACGGGCCTTTATGCTGGACTCGATTCAGCACTATTCGGAATCAGTGTTACAAACTTTGTATATTACTACTGGTATGAATGGACTCGTTCGGGTTTCGAGAAGGCGGCACTCAAGGCTGGCCGAGCTTCAAAAAAGCTCACGACAATCGAATCGATGATCGCGGGAGCAATCGCAGGCTCAGCAACAGTCTTGCTCACAAATCCTATTTGGGTAGTCAATACACGAATGACTACACGAAAGAGAAATAAGGAGGGTGAGGGCTTTTTGCCCGGGGCTAAGGCATCAAAGGCACCTACAACAGTTGGCACATTGCTTGCACTCATTAAAGAAGAAGGTCCATTAGCGCTTTTCTCTGGAGTCGTGCCTGCGTTGGTGCTCGTTATTAACCCCATATTACAATATACGATTTTCGAGCAGTTAAAGAATGCAATCGAGAAGAAGAAAAGAATCACCCCAACAATGGCATTCCTTCTAGGCGCATTAGGAAAGCTATTTGCTACTTCAATCACATACCCTTATATCACAGTAAAGAGTCGCATGCACGTTGCCGGAAGAGATGGAGGAAAGGAAAGTATGGTTCAAGGCATGAGACGTATTTTGAAGGAAGAGGGCTACGCTGGATTCTATAAAGGTAAGCGATTCTTGTTTTTTTTTGAGGGGGGGGGAATTATTACGAGGCTTGTTGTTGACTTTACTTCAGGAATTGCTCCCAAAGTCTCACAGAGTGTTATGACTGCTGCATTTTTGTTCGCCTTTAAAGACGTTTTGTATGAACAAACCATCAGGTTAAGAAGAAACCTTCCTGCCAAAGTGGCCGTGAAGTAAATATAGTCTTTGGTTATCGAGGTAGACCTGTGGTGCTCTTGGAGCATAGATCTGATTGTAAGTTATGGCTTTGCTGGAATGTATATATATGGTATTTGGACTGTTAAGGAATGGCGTTAGAATATACCTGCGTAAGAGATGGTGTCGAAATGGGTTGCTTCTATTGTGATTAATAGGAAGGGGTCGTACACATACAATTTGAAATATCAGATATTGTTAAAGCAATCATAGCAGGACATGCAAAGTCATTAATGAAAGATGTTAGCAGCTTTACCTAATTTTTCTTATTAAAGATGTAGTTGAATAGCCACAAAGTGTATGGAATATACCTGATAGATCTCATCTCAGCGCACCCCTCAATGTGTGAATTCAAACTGGACATTGAACGATTTATCAAGCTTGATCCACTAATCATGTGATCGCGCGAAAGGCAGACGCGAAGTGCCGCTGGTCTTAAGTACTTTATTTATTTACAGCGACAGTATTTTACTCGTGATTCTTACAGTATTTCTGTTTCTCTCATGCTTTAGCGGAAAGGAAATAGCAATCAATATTATTCCATACAGACATCATGGAAAATCCTACTGAGAGTGATGAATATGGCTTCAGTTCTGGCGACGAGGCAGATATGCTAGACTTGACAAACGCGGTCGATGCTAGCACCAACCATGGCCACAAGCGTAAAGCTTCTCCCGAGCAGACTTCGTCGATTGTCAAGAAGCAGGCAATCGAGAGCTCCCACAAGGTATTTGAGTCAGCAACGTTTGCACTGAGTCGCAACTTTGGTTTCAAATCTTTTCGATTGAAGCAGGAGCAAGCCATATCAAAAATCCTTGGTGGCGACAGTGCCGTTGTTGTCTTTCCTACTGGAGGTGGCAAGAGTCTCTGCTTTCAAGTCCCGGCGCTTGCTTTTGAAGAAGAAGACAAGCTTCTCGGGACTCGTGATGAAGGCGAACATGGCAGTGAGTAAAAGTTAAGCGTGCTATGCGGTAATTCTTCTACAACATTTTATGAACGGGAGAATCAGACTTCCTTAATCGAAGCTTCAGTTTTATGGATTCTTCTTTAATTTCATCTATATTTTGAAAATAATACTGATTAAAGTGATATACAGTTACCCTGGTAGTATCGCCACTCATAGCTTTGATGAAAGATCAGGTAGATGCTCTTGTTCGTCGCGGTATTGCTGCCGCAACTTTCGACTCAAGCAAGACTAGAGAAGACTTTATACAAACATGCGACCAACTGAGAAGTGGAAAGTTAAAGTTACTGTATGTAGCGCCTGAGAGGTTAAATAATGAGGGTTTCGTGGAGCAAATGAAATATGTCCGAGGAGGTATCAGATTGCTTGCAGTAGACGAAGCACATTGTATCAGCGAGTGGGGACATAGTTTTCGTCCAGACTACCTAAGTTGTACCTCCAACTCTACTAGAGACGCATCATTTACTGACTATATGTAGAGATTGCTCGTTTTGCTGATGAGATCAGAGCAGAGAGAGTCATTTGCCTAACTGCTACAGCTACACCCCGTGTTGCGCAAGATATTTGTGATGCATTCAGAATCAAAGATTCTGGACTCTTTCGAACTTCTACCTATCGACCTAATCTGCATTTATTGGCTGAGTCAGGAGATAGGAAGGTTACTATGCTGCCCAAGCTTAAAGACTTTTTACGAAAGCATAAAGGCTCAACTATCATCTATGTTACTTTGCAGAAGCAAACGGAGAATCTTGCAAACATATTGGTAGAGGCGGGCTTCAAAGCTAAGGCATTTCACGCAGGAATGACGACTGAAGCCAAGACAAAGTTGCAGGATGATTTCATGAGAAGTAATGACATGATTATGGTTGCAACTATTGCCTTTGGGATGGGAATTGACAAGGGCTCTATTCGCAATGTTATACATTTCAGTGTCCCTCAAAGTCTGGAATCTTACAGTTAGTAACTTTCATTATTGTATTCCTAGCCGTTACTACCCCAGCCAGTGTATCTCGATCTCTACTATGTTCAGGCTTACTCTCAAAGTTACAATGAGCCACCCCTCGTTTTTCCACTCAGTCTCGAAGTAGAGACATCCCCGCACTACTTGATGATTGCAAATGCCAAAGCTCTTCATGCTGATATTTGCACAGGTCAGGAAATCGGAAGAAGTGGCCGAGATGGGAAAATTTCTAATTGTTTCTTCTTCGTATGTGGCGAGGATCTTCATTTCCGTGAATTATTCGCACGAGGTGATCTTCCATCTCTTACATCCATTCGTGGACTACTAAACGACATATTTGATTTAAATGCGAAAAAGCTTCCAATTGGAGGTGAGATTCACAGTTCGCATTACAATCAAACGAAAGAATTCGATATCCGCCCCACTGTTCTAGGTGGTATATATGCACAATTAGAGCTGGGCCACGGTCTTATCCGTGCTACTACACCGTTATACCAAAAATATTCGTATGTTGCAAATGATCGCATGTATCATTCCAAAATCAAGACAGATCGAAGTCCAGCAGCAGCAGCGATCGCAGCCTGTGGCGAAAAGAAAGCTAAGTTCCATCACATCGATGTAGATGCCGCAGCTCGTCGTTACAATCTCGGAAGAAATGAGGTCATTGGCAAGCTTAACGAATGGAACGCCGAAGGGGCTCTAGAACTGAAAGCAAGTCAGGTCTTAAATGTCTACAAAGTCACTAAACCTCTTCCCCAAACCGCAGAGGATATTGAGACAATCGCAAAGACAATTTACAGCAGCATGGAAACACGTGAAAAGCAAGCTTTGGAGCGCTCAGAGAAAATTTTACAGCTTATCACCGGCAAAGCTTGTTTTTCCAAAAAATTGGCCCAGCATTTTGGAGATGAGCTGCCTGATGGAAAGGAAGAATGCGGTCATTGTCAATGGTGTTTAACACATAAGCCCGTCGAGATTCAACTTCCACCTCCTGTTCCTTTCAATACTATTGTTTTCAACAACGTTCTTAATATGATTGTAGAGCGCGATGATCCGAGATTCCTCGCTAGAGTAGCTTTTGGTATCTCTACCCCGAGAGTGACGGCGATGAAGTTAGGAAAAAGTCCCATCTTTGGTTCGATGGATGATCATGAGTTCTCGGTAAGTGGGATATGGATGCAAACAGACTTGTGATTGACAAGTGGCTAACAAACAATGGCTGCAGGTTCTTCTTGAAGCATTTGAGAAGGAATGCAAATAGGGGTGAGCTTGTGGGAATGACTTTGTAGTATATTTGGACATATTTAGCGAAGGTGTTGATGATTCTGCATAGGATATTTCATTTCTAGCTTAGTCGGCACAGTTAGATGAGAAATCAAGGTGAAATAAATGGTACTATTGAGAAGGGAGCAGCTTGAATCGTGCATCACACGGATGCCGGCTCATAACATAGAGTATAAACCTCATTCTACATACAACCCGCATTGTCTCTGACATATCTAAGCATCGAGAAAACTCAACGACTCGCAGCTAAAGGATTGAGAGTTCCAGTATCTGTTTCATTACTTCATTGAGAGGTGTTCATGTCCAGTATTCTTACAAAGTCCTAAGCATGTCTTTTTATCCGAACACCTTTACGCTAAATCAATTCATATCCCATGTCAATCATGTTCACCCCATATATAATACAATTGCACCTTCATTCTCTCATCGCCTCCCCAGGTTTTGCTCATGCACCCAAAAGGCCGGACAAGGAGCCCCTTCATCACCTCTCCCGTTCTTCATCCCGCCCAACAGCCAATCCGTTAACCCAACGACTTTAGCCCCTACACCCCTTTCCCAATTTCCCCCCTCTTGAACGTGCTCAATAGTATGCGACCAGATCCTTCCCTCCTCATCGAATTCAAAGAGGAATAGACCAGTAAATTCCTTGCTATCATCCTCACCACTTCCACCCCCCAACCATTCTGTAATCTTATCCACATTCTCTCGCGCCCCAATCCCTTTATAAAAACCTCCTGTTCCTTTGTTCTTGGTCTTGCCAATGGTCTTCCATCGTACGATTAATTGTTCGCGAGTTGATCCTCTAGATGATGATTGACTCATTCGCTCGGAAAGTATTTCAAGCTTCACATTTCCGACGAGAGGAACGCGACCCCAGGCAATAGGAGATGTCCATAGAGCGGCAGAATATGCGACACGGCCGGAGACAGTGGGGAGATGGGGGTGCGTGGAGGGGAAGAGGTGAAGGGTTATTTGCGGGGAGAGAATTTCTTGGGGAAGTGGAGATTGGAGGAGGGTAGGAAGGCGTTCTTGGAGAATGCGGAGAGCTGAGGATTGTTAGTATATTGTTTGTAAGTGGGTTAATAATTTGAGGGGGAGCGGGGGAGGGGCTGCTTGCTTTTGCCAAGTTTGACTGTTCTCTCATTGTTGGGAGGCTTATTCGAATTTTTGAGATTTGGTGGTGAATCCTCATTCCTAGGATTTGAGCCGGTGAACCAAATATCCGGTAGGATCTTAGATCCTGCGTTGACAGTTGCTAGACATCGAGCACCTTTCTGTGTAGTGGCAAGCTTCGTATGGCATGTTGAAGAAGCAGAGGAGAGCTTCGAGGCCCGTCTTCTAGTAAGGCGTAGGAGACTGTATGATTTCGACATCAGCTTGGATGGATCGGATTCATATGTAAAGACATCAATACATTCAATACATTCAAGAAGAAATAGGAAGAATTGTAACCATCATCATAGGAATCGATTTCTACAACTTTTTTTGATATCCATGTTCCATTTCATCATCCAGTGATATTCAAGCTTTATCAATCGGCCTTGCAAGCTGCTGATTACCGATTAGATAGGTACAAAGCGGTGCGGTCAGGGGGTCAGTTGATCAGGAGTTTGAATGAATCACAAGAAACGCAAGAAACAACAAGAATCACATTATATTAGTTTGAATCATTCACTGTTTTTGAATCATGCAAACGGTGTAAGGGAAAAAGAAGAATAAATACTTTCAAGTGTCCAATACATGCGAGAATGAATTTATTGTATCTGATTCTTCCATTGTGTGTTTGTGCATATAAGATTAAAGATATAAATTAATATACGAGTAGAGACATTCACCTGCAAACGCCTCCTCCATATTATACCAAGTATCACCACCAAGCCAAGTAATCCCGGCCAATTCTGATTCACGTGATACTCGTCTAACGCCCGTGGACCGCCTCTGCACCTTAAACACAGTTGAGGTTCCCAAGAGTTGCGATATCTTATTCTACAACTACAACCATAAGACATCGAAAAGGATAACCAAGAGGTATCATACAATTTCCACTTAAAACAACATACTTTTGAACAACCAACCGCAAATATGAATCCCGAGTAGTAAGTTGAAACCCCTCAGATCAAACGTCATCCTTTCATCAGCTTCAAAGAAACCGCCATCTACATGATATCTCCCGAGACGCAATACTAATCATTCTATTTGCAGAGTACATTATACATACCCCTCATCACGAAGGTGCCATTACCATCGCACAGAGTACACTCGAGTGGTCCACGTCAACATGTATATCCTGAACAGACTCCGACTGACCAACTTAATAGATACGATTACCTCTTCAAGCTCCTCCTTATCGGTGACTCCGGTGTAGGAAAGTCCTGTCTGTTGTTGCGATTCGCAGATGACACTTATACCGAGAGTTATATCTCGACTATTGGTGTTGATTTCGTGGGTGCTGCAGTTCCCGGGTTACAGAGTGTTGTTTGCTGATGGCGAGGTAGAAAATCCGCACGATCGAGTTGGACGGCAAGACCGTCAAATTACAAATTGTAAGGAAACCTGAAAGAGATTAACGTGGAAGTATTGTGCTGATAGTTTTACTTCGTAGTGGGATACCGCTGGACAAGAGCGTTTCCGTACCATCACATCCTCGTACTACCGAGGTGCTCACGGTATCTGTGTTGTCTACGATGTGACCGACATGGACTCGTTCAACAACGTCAAGCAATGGCTACAAGAGATCGACAGATACGCAACAGAGGGCGTCAACAAGTTGCTTGTAGGCAACAAGAGCGATATGTCAGACAAGAAGGTCGTTGACTACACCGTCGCAAAGGTACATACCATCACATAGACTCAGCCATCTGGAATCCCTGATCAGAAGATTGCGACTAACATACATCATTTTAGGAATTTGCTGACAGCCTCGGCATCCCATTCCTCGAGACTTCCGCCAAGAATGCCAGCAACGTCGAGCAAGCTTTCTTGACCATGGCACGCCAAATTAAGGAAAGAATTGGCACAACTACCGCAAACAATAAGCCAGCGGTACAAGTCGGGCAGGGACAAGGAGTACAATCGGGGTCTGCTGGTGGATGTTGTTAGATGGTGTTATTTGTCGATCGGTCGCACTTAATCTAGGTTATTGAAGAACCTAGAACGTCACGAACTTCTGCTTCCCTTTTATTATCCGCATTAGACTGATGGTCCCTTGGATCGGCCTCTGTATTTCGTCTGTCTTTCGCTGCCTCCGCTAGCAAAGCATCGCAGCAAAATCACATAGCAAATCTTTGCACCAATGACGCTAAGGAAGGAAGAGGGGAAATAGATAACTTTAATGGCTGATGGACGGAGGGAACATAACCCAGTTGTGAAACATTTGGCGTGAAATGGGAGGAATTTCGGGGAATGGATCTTGTCATTGTTTTTATTTCCTTTTTATTGATGCACGGTTTTCCTTTTTTGGGGTCTGAACCTTATTTTTCGACGCTACTTATTGATGGTATCGAGATTCTTTTTACATTTTATTATGACAGGCAAGGCAATATTCGAGACTTTTTCCGCGAGACATGGGCTTTGTATTGTATTGCATGATATGTGGGGTTTATCTTGATGTTGATGTTGATGTTGATGTTGATGTTGATCTGATATGATATGACATGATGTGAAATGTGAAGCGATCTCAATCTCAGTGCTTAGGTTAATAATTTTGTTGGTGACCGTGAGAGCAAGTCAGTCGTTTCAAGTTAGAGGGGGAGAGAGTTGTGTGGGTGGATGGATGCACAATATGGAAGCGCTATGCTGTGTTCAGGGTCGATTTTAAGGGGCTATTTGCACTTGTCACACAGGTACTATTTGTACTAGGGAGACAAATAGCCAAAGTTTATGACTGGTGGTTGATTGTGACAGATAAGAAAGTGTCTGTGGGAGATTGGCTTGCGGTATGCTGTCTGGGTTTTTGGTTATGGATGTATATACCTATGTAGGTATGTATATGAACTCCGAGATGGAGACTCTGGGGGGGGTTATAGGAGTGTGGATTTATAGAGAGTGACACTTATGCGTAAGAGTGATAAAGTTTTTAGCTCCAGCTGGGGATAACAGGTGAAGGTATAAATAGTGTTTCATTATTTAGGTAAATTAACTCCTAGCGCAACATCTCATTGATCATAATAACGTACAAGCCAATTACTTACTCGTGTCTCAAAACCCGTCCCAACTCCTCAATCCCCCACATTCTGTAGAACTCAAACCCTAAACCTCAAACCTCGATCCCCAACTCCTTCCCAATAATAACAGCTGCCTTCTCACCCACCGCTAAAGCAGTATTATTGGTATTTGCACCCACATTCTCCGGAACCATACTTAGGTCACAAATCTTCAATCCCTGCGTCCCGTACACATTTAGATACTTGTCTACCACACCCCCTTTTTCTTTCGGCTTCATCGCACATGTTCCTAGCGAGTGCCATGTTGTATTCAGATTATCTCTGATCCAATCTTCAATGAGCGCATCATCTTCTGCGCTATATTCAATATCCTTTATTTCTCCCTCAATTGCCCCATTAGCTAATGCAGCAGCAGACTTCTTCCCAAATTTTGGATGTCCGAGTTCCAATTCTCCACGGTAATAGGGAAGTCGTCTACATATTTCTCGTTGCATTTTATATGCCCAAAGCTGTTTCTTCAAATCACTTGGATGACTTAAAAAGCCCGCGTCAAATTCATAACCATTTTGTACGTCAGTGGAAGACGTGATGTGGATGGAACCACGTGAATAGGGGTAGGCAGTGTAGGTGCCCATGGTTATGTATTGGCCTGGATCGACAAGTGTTGGGTCTGCTAGAAAGGCACTCACAACGCCGCAGAGCATGAGAGGTTTTGTGGGATAGGGAGCGAAGTCCCGGTCCCAGTCTGAGACGAAGTCAGTACCGAGAGCTTCGATTTCGGAGGTAGTGGGACGGAGTTTGCTGCACACATCTA